AAAAAAAAAAAGCAAGAAAAGGAAAACAAGAAAAAAAAACAGAAAAAAAAATTCTTGCAAGTTCACATGCCCCATCTATCTCTAGGGGAATTGGCCAGGGCTTCGCGCAAAGAATCTATTCCATTCTCCTTTCCATCACTCCTATCGACGGTGACAGCGGTGATCTTTCCATTCTCCTCCCCTTCCGTTGCAGTTTCACGACGGTGCGGAGCTTCATCGCAGACCACAATGGTCACCTGGGCTCCCTGTTCCGTTGGCTGCGAGTTGGGTCCACAACAGGGCCACCATCGAATTATTAATTGCAGTTGCCAGGGTGCACCATCGGGTGAGTGGCGCATCACCAAAAACGTAGCGGCTGTTGAGTAGAACGCCACGAGAATATCATCTGTGTAGTGGGAGCGGGAGGCGATGATACAGTAAAAACTGAATGTTACAAGCACAATGGATACGGGACGAAAAAACCAGTGCAACAACGGCCCATATGTCCAGTGTAACATGAGGTTGAGCGTGATTATGATGGTGTGACCACTGAACATGAGGTCTCCGCAGTGAATGGACCCAGACCCCAGCGTTACCACCGTCAAAAAAATGTTTTTTAGCGGATCCGTGATTTCCACCGGCTCCTGGCACTTGTTGTCTGTCGCAGGGTACGACGTCATCGTGATAACAAGGGATCGGAACAACAGCATGACAGAGTACGAAGCCAAAAAGCGGATACAGGCAATTAAATGAACGTCACGCTTTCCAATATCACAGATGTAGCCTCCATCCCAGACACCAAAAAGAAACCGGCTGACAAATGGAATATTGAATGGCATCACCAATTCCGCTTCTCCTTCGTTCTGCCGGTGAAGAAGGTACAGCTTTAGCACAAGAAGCACACTTATTACGTTGAGAATGGCGATACAAACATCTGTAACGGTCTCAAGCCATTCAATTTTTGCGAACAACTCAAAGCCGATGTCCGGCAAAGGACGCACAAGCTTCGGATCTGGCATACGGGCATTGGTCACCAAAAGTGCCGCCGCGAGGATGAAGGTGGATATGAGGAGCACAGGGATGAAGCGAAAAACTTGTGTTTTCAGCGGCAGAGGCCTTTTCAACCAGTGAAGCTCTGTTCCACCGATTAGGTCTCCTGGCAACGCTGCCATGATTAGGCAAAGTTCTTTCTCCCTCCAGAAAACAAACAAACATAACAAACAAGCAGAAAAAAAAAGCGAAAAGAAGTCCAACCAGCAACAAAAAAGGAAACAGCGGNTGATAAGATACACCAAGGGAAGAGCTGTCTGCTCTCACGCATACCCTTGTTGTCGCACCATTCAACGGCATAGTCAGGCTCTTCAAAGTAAACGAAGCTTGGAGGGGAACATGGTGCAAAGAACATGGACGCCAGATAGAATGAAGCGTCAGTATGATCCCTCCCGCGATGCCAGCATCTCTCCACCCCCACCCCTCGCCGCTACAGTGAGAAGAATTCGTGCGAATCAAAGAACACCCACGGGGTTTGCCTCCGGACTGAAACACTCCCCCCTCTCCCTCTCACACACACACACACACACACACACACACTCACTCACACAAGTGAAAAACAACAACAAACGAACAAGAACACAGGAACGTTGCGAATCAACCTGGTAACAGTGTAAATATACGTCCGTTTTTTATGCGGCGGTAGATGCGTCTTGCTGAGGTGCCAAAGTGGTTGTTGTAGTTGTAGTTGTAGTTGTAGTCGTAGTATTGTCATAGTCGGTACTGTTCGAGTTCTCGTTGCCACTGTTGTTCATTGACTGGTTCTCGTACCGCACCTCCCGGACAATGGTAACCGAAGTCGCCACCACGATACACAACAGCAACGTGATCAGCGGCAGAATATGGCCGTAGCGCACCAAGTAGCTGTTTACACTTGATCGCACCCCCGCACTATTAATCATTGAGACAAATGCAAATCTTCTGCACCACTGCGGGGAAGATCTATGCGAAACACGGAACAAGTAAACAAAACAACAAAGACAACTGTATGGCCAATTAGAGTACAAAGAACCAATAGACATTCCCCACTGCTCCCACGAAGCAAAAACGAAAAATATATAACAAAATACCAAAAATCCGAGGGAAAAGGTCAAAGAAACAAAAATAGCTGCATGTGAGCGTTGCGCACTTAAAAAAAAACACCATCTCCACCCTTTTCACCTTCCCAACGCAGCCTCCCCGCCTGTTGCTGCTGCTTCCGCCTCCCCACCACAGTTAAAGCGCTCCGAAAGAATATCTGCGAGAACAAGCGTGCTGTCGGTGCAGATACCCGCAACGCCCGCAGGTAGCCCACCGAAACACCTGCACCACCGATCCCTGTCTAGCAGCGCCGCGACAGGGTACGGCCCTGTCGAAGCGCGACCCCAGAGGGGGAACCACCGCTGGTGCACCGAGGCCGCGTTTAACGCACGCAACAACTCTAGCGTGGCCGCAGCGACTTCATCCACCGGGATCGCATCGCCTGACAATTTACCTCTCTGCCCAAGGTCCTCCACATAAGCCTCGTACCGCTCCAGAATATCTCCCGGGGAGATCAGCTTCGAGAGCACCTGCGCGTTGACGTTGCTTCCTCTTGCGAGAACACAGAGCGTCCGCACTGCGACGTCGTAGGGAAATACCCCATTCATCGTTTTCGTCACCACGCCGTTGCACAACACCTCTGAAGCAAATTCGTCACCAACACCACGACGCGGTGCCTCCTCATCTCCCGCTCTATGCTTTTCTTCCCCCGCTATAAAAAAATACCGATGCAGATTGCTCCAGCTATTGAAGAGATCGGCAATGTAAAAGTAGGGGATGTCGTACGAGACGTGCTCTTCAAGCCATGCCATCTGCTCAGGCACATCGCACTGCTTCAAAACCTCCTCAAAAGTCCAACGCTCATCTGCATCGTCACCGGCATCCGTAGAAAGACGCTCAATCATAGTTTTCAAGAACTCCTCCTGATAGCAGTACTTTTCACAAAATGCTGTGGGGAGTATGTGCTGTTGCATGTACAACTGTGCCTTTAAATTCGCCGCGTGAATCCGCCGAAGGTAGCGCTCGTCAATAAGTCCCTTGTCTTCAACGACGCGGTACGTCAGCCACCCACTGAAAAATCCACCAACAGGCAGTAGAACGCTTCGCCCAGCGGCGTACAGGCGTTCACGCGTCATCTATAGCCCCCTTTTTTTGTTGTTTTTTCACGAGCAAAGACGATAAACGTACAGGAAGAAAGGAAAGCGCCGTAGTTGAAAAGCAAAAAATAAAATAAACGACGGGGAAAGGGGAAACCCCACATCACACAGCTTTCTTCAACCAGAAAAAAAAAGAAAAATAGTAGATTTCCGAACAAAAAAGACAACGACAAAAACAAGTCTTTGCCCATGATTGCATACTACGGCACGGATATTTCCGTATGCACGATTACTTTGTAGCTTGCCGGCGGCAACCTACACCTGACTCGGCATGCACCGCTGAACTTTTGCCAACTGCCGCGCTGCAGACCAGCTCGTGAACTTCCGCACCAACAGAATAGCCAACAGCAGGAAACCAAGTCGCCTTAGAAGGGCAATCCATGCGCTCCCCTTTTGCTTCTTCTTGATAAGCTTTTGACGACGAGAGGCATGCGAAGCATTCCGGTCGGCGGATATCCTCTTTGGTGCTTGTACCCATTTGCCGCTCTCATCCATATACATGCCAGACTTCAGTTGGTTGTACTGCTGACTCATCCCAATGTAGTTGCCCATGAACTGAAGAGCACTTCCAAACGTCGTCTGAATCACCCCTGCAAACATGCCGCACATTTCCAGGAGACGTCCTACTAGCATAAAAGTCATTTGACTGCGCTGAAAGTCCTCCGACATACCCATACCCATACCATACATGCCCATGCCGCCCATACCGAGACCGCCGTACATGCCGCCCATACCGAGACCGCCGTACATGCCGCCCATACCGAGACCGCCGTACATGCCACCCATGCCGAGACCGCCGTACATGCCGCCCGTGCCAAGACCGCCATACCCCAGCCCAGATCCGTAACTAGATGCGTAGCCGGACCCGTAGCGGTTCGAGGTGTCTGCCGTGTTGTTGGCTGATGTAGCTTGTTGGGGGTTGTCCACGGCGTTTTGCTGTGCTTGCACGGATGTCATTGTTGTTGGTTTTGTTGTCGTAATCGACGTTGAAGTTGCTGCAGCACCGACACCAGTTGCAGGGCTTTGGGGCACCAAAAGCCCAGCCCCTGGCGTTACTGGGCTGCCCGGCGGAGACTCCGGCGCGTTTTCCCACGGCCTGGCCAGCTCTGTCATATCCCCCTACTACTATCCTTCACACTTTAAAAAATATATATATATTATTATTCTTTCAACACTGACGCGCCTTACTTGACGTTCCCGTGAAGGCTGACCCTACTAGTAAGATCCCCCCGGGCGGCGCAAATCCACAGAAAGGAAGAGACAAAGCGCATGTAGATGTCTTGTTTTTTTTTCTTGGAAAATCTTCCTAGAATGATATGTGTCATTGGGAGACACACACACCCCTCTCCCAATCTCCTCTTGATTCTCGTGTTCTTGTAGCTGAGAGGTTAATCTCAATTTTGTTAGGGCGGCCAACGGACTGCAGTCTTGTTGACGTGCCATCATTTGCACTTAAATGCATTGTCTCTCATCCTGTCCTTCGGTTCTTTTTCCCTCAACGTTAAACAACGAGTGCAGTTAGTGTTCTCCTTTATATCATATAGTGTTTGTTTTTTTCTTCGTCTGATTTTGTTTCTTTTTTTTTTTT